TCGTGCCGTGCCCAAGCTTGCACGTAGCGCTTTGAGCTGCTTTGCTTTCGTAGCACGGGCCTGAGCTCGTTTTCTTGTACAGTACTTTACTACTGCGCCGCGTTTCCCTTCGACCTCGACGTGACGATGGCCACAAGCGACGTCTCGTCGACCCCGAGTGCTGTGGCGCCAAGCGGTGTCCCAGTCAGCAGACCCAACACGGTGTGTTCGTCCTGCGGTCAGACACCGCAAGACTTGGAGAGGGACCTCCTTCCTGAACGCCAAGAATACGTCCAGTGGGCGAAAAAGAGCAAGGACTCGTCCGGGAAGCGGACAGTGGCAGAGGGCTCGGAATGTTTGCCGTGCTGCAAGTGCCGGTGTAACTCCTGGGGCCGGGCTCCTCAAAACGAGATCAATAAAATGCAGAAAGATTCGCCCGCGCCTTTGTCGCAATAAGTCATGCCATGTCATAAGTCATAAGGATCAGGATCCCTCAAAGCGATCTGAATAAAAACTCAGAAGGAGGTGCGCTTCTGTCGCAGTAAGAGGGGGGGGCCAGTGCTTCTGCGGCAGTTCAAGGTTTCGTCCGGCTTCGTCGTCAGGATCCCCCAAAGCGAACTGAATAACATGCAGTGCTTCTGTCGCAGTTCAGGTTTCGTCATTGCAAGGACTATTGTAGGACCAGTACCAGGTTAACGTGGCATTGCGTTGTAGTAAAGTCCGCGACTCCGCGTCCCTCCGTGCTACAGCCTCTAAGTCTCTAAGTCAGTTGTAAACTGCCACTTAGCGGACGAGTTGTCGGGCAGGGGGTATGGCAGGTATAGGTATAGGCTGTAGGCTATAGCCTATAGCTATTTGAAATCTGATTACACGTAGTCTGTAGGCTCGATGGTAAACCGTAGACTGTACACAAAACTGACTGGACTGTTAGATTAGATTGATCGTCCAGGCTATGGATGAGCAGTACAAGCGCAGCCGCCGTGACTCAGTGCGCTGCGACGGTGCGTGGCTGCGAAAATTCTTCCCAGTACGGCAATGATAGTCTGTGATAGTGCTCAGTGTTCTGTGTCACCCCCCTGCCGCCGATGAGGACGATTCAAGTACCCCAAGCACGACCTGCAGAGCTACGTCAAGGAGGAAGACTACTTCGACGAATTTTACACTGGGGAATTCATCGAATTGCCGACGTTTCTCAAGGAAAACAACGCCCCCCCCGGATTGCTTACTCTTGAAGAACAACAACAGTTTGTGGGGTATGTGCCCCAGCCGCATCCATCCTTGGTAAACCGAAGACCTCCTAGAACCTGCCTGTGCTTCTCTGATCCTGAGTCAAGTCTGTGAGTGTGTCTGAGTCTCCTGAGATTGTTGCCGGAAATTTGAGTGACAAAGCAGTACATAACTTAACCTAACCTAACTATCGACTCAGATCACTCAGATCTTTACGAACATATTCACGTTGTGACAGCCTCCGAGAATTGAATTGAGTAACGATTGACGCTCCGTTACAAATGAGGTGACCGGCGGCGCGCAGATCATCAAACGCAATGGGCGCCTTGGCGTGCTCATCAGAGAAGAAGCTGAAGGACACTCGAAAGTGCACGTGGGGAAACGCACCGCCAGTGGAAAGCAGAAGGCCACCCGGCTTAATCAACTCATAATTAACAAGATTGGCTGGTAGGCTGATTGATAGGCACTGATAGGTAGAGGCGCGGCATAGGCCATAGGCTAATATACTAATACTGTACTAATACTGTTACTAAGAGTTTATGATACTAATACTAATACTACTAATACTGATACTAATACTAATACTAATATAAATATAAATATAAATAAATATATTATATAATATATAATAATTACTAAATTATTATCTACTACTTGGGTACCTATTTAATCGGGCGGATGCTGGGCTTTGTTTGATGCGGCATACTAGATGCCAGGATTATGCTGTTATGCTAAATCCTAAGTGCGGGATCTCCTGCTTGATGCCCCATACTAAACACGAGGATTTTTTCAATGTATGCTGCATGCAGCTGCCTGCTGCATGTTAGATGCGAATAGTCGGAATAGCCCAAATAGTCAGTGTTACTAGTGCTGCTGTTGGAGGTTCCTAAAAAGTGCAAGTCTGCGTTGCTACTTGCTTACGCGGATGGATCTGGGTGGCTTTGGAGGCTTTGGAGGCATAGGTTGGGTTGCTTTTTGATTTGCTCGGTTTGCGGCATGCGGCATACTGTACCGTACCACTTTCACCCCAATTCAGGGTCTACAGGCTTTGGGGTTTGAGATTCAGGGTGGGCTTGCTGAGGGTGGACCATGCTTTGCGAGGGCCTTCCAAGACTGCAAGTGCACAGTCGGGTCAAAAGGCAGGTTTTATGTGGTGGAGCACACGCTGTGCTAAGGCTTTGGCAGCCTATCAGCAGCCCATCCCAAAAACCCTGAACCGCAGAAGTCGAACCCGGCTTAACCCTACATAGTGTCGTGACGAGTCGTGACGTATGGTCTTTAGGTGGGCCACGAGCGTTTCTAGACACGAGTTTTTCGAGCATTGCATTGAAGAAACGGATCAATGTAACAGAATTGCTGAATTGCTACTTTGAGTACCTTCGTAAGCTTTGCAATCCTTCATTTCCCCTTTCTCAGGTGCAGCAGCACGATTCCAACAGCGAGATGCGACATGCTGCTGCTTCTTGCGGGGTTGCTGCTTCCATTCAGAAGGCGAGGTCTTCGGCGGCCCAGAGGGCAAACCTTCTGGAGAACAAGGCTTGGCCTGGGATCGATTGTTTTTGACCTGTGGAGTGTTCGGGCTCTGCGGATTTACCGCTGTTACCGCTGTTCTTTGTGACATTTGATGGGGCAGGACGGGGGTGTCTGCATGCATAGCATAGCCTATAGCATAGCCTCTTGTGTAAGTACCGGTTGCACTTAACTTAGGTTCTTAGACTTTGATTCACTTTGATTGTATTATTGGGTTTGATGTTTGTTGGTGCCGCCTCCTGTGTACTAGACGATCATCTTTGCTCCATTTTACCTAAGGGCCTGTAAAACTGCACGAATAACAACTTTTGCCGGTTTTGGAGCCCGTTGTCCCTTGTCTCTCTTCTCTCACTCTCTCGATCTCCTCTCTGTTCGTCTCTCTCGGTCAGGTGACAACTCCGGAGGATGCCACGGACGACGCTTGCGGGGAGCAGCCGGATGATTCTGATGCTGAGGGCTCTGAGGATTCACGCTTCAGATAAATCTCGGATTTGAGTTCTAAGCTGTACAGGCCCTACGGCTTCTCAGTAGCCCCAAATAAGACATCCTGGCATCCTAGATCCTAGATAAGCAAGCAGCAAGCACCTGTCGCCTGCTCCTGCCCAACCTTGCCAAAGCCTAACCGCTAAACAGTTAAACAGTTAATCCGTTTTAAACCCCAACTTTGGACCCTAACTTTTGATCGTAACTTACCCTAACCCTAAGCCCAAGCCTGGAGGATGACTTCGGCTTCGGAATCACCGCCGTCGAGCCTGTGCTTAGCAAGGGCCGAGCTTCATCACGTGGCCGGGGTCGCGGAAGGTCGCTTGGCAAGTCCGCCAATCCGGCCCCAGGCAGGTCTGATGTGGACATGGGTCAGCAGGAGGCAAAGCCACGGAAGCGTTCTTTTGATGCAGCATTCCCGGGCGAGGAGGAGAAGTTCAGCGACGACGCTGAGGAAGCCGAGGCGGCTCCGAAGAAGGGCGGCAAAGGCGGCAAAGGCGGCAAAGGTGGCAATAAAGGTGCGGGTGCCGGTGCTGTCACTGAGAAGGCCGAGAAGACAGCTTCCAAGATTCTGAGCGCAGAGGACTTGTGGCAGGGCAAGCACCGTGAGAGACAAATCACTGCTATCACGGCAGCTTGCCAACAGGCGTGTTCCAAGCTCCATGGCTTGGGCGACACAAATGCAACCGAGATCGCCAACCGCATCAACTCGCATTGTGCTGACATGGAGTGCCAGTACTATGTGTTCAGCCGCATCAAACAAGATGCTGGTGCTACGGCGGCAGCGCTTGAGGACTCGGACTACGACTGCTTGGTAAAGTGTGACGTTTCATTGGTTTTCTCCATTGTGAGCTTCGTGGCATCCGAGCTCCTGAAGGTGTTTGAGAAGGACGAAGACAGCAGGACTGCGACGCTGACGAAGTTGTTCGCCCTTTGCAGCACCAGTGATGTGAATCCTGGCAGCCGGAAGCTGTCCGTGAATATCCTACTGAAGGATGGCGGGGGCCAGACTTCGGCCGCGAGCTTGCAGCATCAGGTGACGATGATGCTCTTGGAGAAGACCTTCCGCCTGAAGAACGCCACCGAAAGACTCGTGGAGATTGCAACAATGTGAGCGGCTTAGCCAGCTTTGCCAGCTCGTCCTGTTGTAGGTTGCGCTGCCCGTCCAACGTCGTGGCCCCATTATGTGAGCCGAAATGCCGACTCTAACCTGTTATGTGTGACGATTAGGGTACAGCACCGTGGTCCTTAGAACCGAAAAAGTAAATATTTCGGCTCTAATGTCCTGGCCCCGGTGGGGTGGAGGGGGGAGGGGGGAGGGCCATGCAAAAAAATGCAGGTGCGCGCACATACTGATAGTCTTAGTCTTAGTCTAGGTTCAGTCTATGTCAGTCTGTCTATGTCTATGTCTGTGATAATCTATGTCACGTCTATGTCTATGTCTGTGTCTATGTAGTCTATATCTATGACACTCTGTCAATGTCTATGTCTATATAGTCTATATCTATGACACTATGTCCATGTCTATGTCTATGAGTCTATGACTCTGAGCCTGTGACTGTGTGACTCAGACATGTCTTCCACGTGACACGATGATTCAGTCTATCAGTCTATCAGTCTCAGACTCTCTGGGACTCGTGACTCCCTGTCCCTGTCAATGCGTGGCGTCATAATTGTGTTAATGATGACTCTGTTGACTCTGTTTCTGTGATATGTTCTGACTCAGACAGTATGTCCCTTCTCGTATCGCGTGTGTCAGGAGCCCAGTGCCGGAGGTTGAGATGACGGAGCTGAGCCCTGGTGTCCCGCAGTTGGGCAGCGATGGCTGGTGTGCCATCGTGAAGAATGACATGACATTCCTGAAGTACCTCGTGCGGGATTGGGGTGCAAATCCAAGTCCCAAGGATGCCGCATTGGCGGCCAAAGCCCACCAGGCGAAGGCCTCTCTCTCTGGACGCTTTGCCTCCCTCGTTAAGAGCACCCCCGCAGGGAAAAAACATCTTGGCACCTTGAAGGCTGCTGCAGACAAGGCTGTGAGCCAGGACGGCATGATCAAGATGATCAGTACTGTCGCAGGCAAGCTTCGGACTGCTGCAGAGGCCATGAGTCCCTTGCTGAAGAAAACGGATGATGTGCAATCTGTAGTCGACGTGGTTACCCAGCATGGCGAGTTGGTGCAGAAGGCGCTCGACCTGCTGCAGACAGCTGATGCTTTGCCTGGCGTCATGGGCGACTCCGCATCTGATGATCTCAGCTCGCTCAACGACACCCGGGCAGCCGTCAAGGTACTTCTGCAGGCGCAAGGCACTACTTACTTGAAGAAGATGGAAGCGGATGTCACAGATATGTTCTCCCGAGACCTTGATGCGGATATCCGGCTGAAGCGTGTTGCCATGTTCTTGGACATCGCCAAAGTGGTGGAGGCAAGGACTTGGGCACACTGAGTGTAGATTCCAAGTTAGAAGTTCAAAAGCTACGGTTACAAGTTACAAGTTGCAGAGTTACAGAAACAGGCTTACGGCTTACCGAAGTTTTTAAGTTGTGATTGTTGTTGTGAATCTGTGAATATATTTCACGCTTTAGTTATGTCCCAGCAGGACTCCTGGAGTCAAGCGTTGGTCCCTGAAGCTGAACAAACTGCTCTTCAGACGATGTTGCTTGACATGCTTGAGGCACACAAGCTTGTTCGAGCCGCAGACTTGAAGCTGGACCAACCCAGCTTCGAAGGGGCTGTGAAAGGGGTGCACAAGATCTTCTTTGGTGTGACCGTCGAAGTGGTGACGACGTGGTGGGAGAAGATCGAGGAGCTTGCGTTGCAAGCAGGTGCGGCCAGGCAATGTGAAAGTAAGGGTTAAATTAACTTAAATAGAATTAAATGAAGTTCTAATAGTAATAGAAGCAATAGAAGTAATATATCAGTTTAGTTTAATTACTAACGGTTTCTGGAGGGTAGGGCAACCGTGTCCGGCCCGAAGGAGGTGAAGACGAGAAAGCCTGGCGAAAGGCGTTTGCCGGTTTCTTGAAGGCGGCAGTCGCTGCGGCCAAGAGCACGGGTGACTTCTTGGAAAGATGGTTGAAAGAGCTTGTCAAGAATGCAAGTGACAGTGGCACACTCATCCTCAGCGCGTCCGTCAAAAGCATGCTCCCCAAGTCCGCGCAGACTCTTTGGTCAACTGTTGAAGTGTACCAGAAGGTAATGGCGGATGACAGTGTGTACCGGAACAAGGTTTCTGGAGTGGTGCGTCAGAATCAATTTTGTGCTGCCTCTGTGTTGGTTGCTGCACACTAGTACCTCGCAATCGGTAGCCAGTTTTTGACATGCGCTTGCCACAAACACAAGCAAACTTGCTTGATGCACGCATGAGGCTTCTTGGGACGCGGAGTCAGCATCCTTCATCGCTACTGGGTGCTCAGATACAGTGCAGGCTCTGAGTGTCGCCACGTCGTCCGTGCGTGGGCTTGGACTTGATGCCGACAAGTTCAATGAGAGAACTCGCGAAATGATGACCAGCCTGCAGGGCACCGTCAATGCAATTTGCGCTGCCGTGAACGAAGGCGTGGACTTGATCCAGCACTATGAGGCCCTTTGCCCCGCAGCCTTCCAGATCCCGGAGAAGGACTTTGACCCCGAAGGGCTCAAGGAGTTCATCCAAGGGCCGGGCGCGCAAGATCAAATTGCCAAGTTCCACAAAGGACTGCCATCCGCCAGTATTGCAGTTGCTACGGTTGCTCAGCCTGTAGTCTAGTGTAGTATAGTCTAGTATAGTATAGTACAGTGTAGCCGTATAACTTTATAAGTGTATAACTGTATAACTGTATAGCCGTATAGCCTAGCCGGGCCTAGCCTATAGCCTGTAGAGCTTTTAACAGGCTTTATATAATAGTGGTGGTGGTAGTAGTAGTAGTAGTCGTCATAGTAGTCATAGTCATAGTTTCCTCCCTGTGACTCGCTCTGCCCTGCTGATTCCTTAATATCTTTTCTGGGTTTGCATGTGCACAAGTGTACTGCACTTGTAAACTCTGCAAGCAGTCCCCTGGTTCCTGGAGTCACTAGGTGAAGGGTGCATTTAGCAAGCGTAGAGCCATGCCGACCACGTGCGCACGCGTGGGCTGCGGTGCCCAAGTTTCCCGCTCTCGCCAACTAGCTGGGCTACGCACCTGTGCGGAACATGGTCGCGCGCTTCGGGCTGGAAACCCGCAACTTCGGCGGCGACGCGTAGCCAAACTCTGTAAACATGCAGGCTGTCAACTTCGCCTAGGCGCGGCTCGCTTACGTGGCGCAGCTGTTTTCTGCAAAGAGCATGGTGGTCCTTGGCCTGGACGCCCTTTTGTTGTTCCGAGCCGGAGATATTCCTCCTGCACGCCAGCTGCTCTGGAACGTTCTCTCTCCGCTTTGTCTTCCCGTGCGAAAGGAGGTTGCGCTGGCAGTAAGCTGTTGAGGCAGATCTTACGGCAATGGACAGGGTGCCCCGACACGCCTTGTGCGCGGCTTGTGCCCCTAGATGCTCCCCACGACTGTCCTCGCCTCTCTCAAGTCGACCTGTCTACCAGCAAGGCCACACGTTTGCTTAACGCTGCAGTCGTGCGCAGGCTTTCCAGAGAGGGTTACGAAGCACTGGGCTGCTTGAGGGACTGGAGCCCGGCCATTGTGCGGCCCCTCCTTCTGGCCGCTGCAGCACGTGGACCTGTACTCAGTGATGATCATCACATCGCCGTGGTGCATCAAGAGCGATGCCTTGCTCAGCGACGCGATTGGCATGCTTTGGGCTCCCTCATCGACCGTGTGGTGCTTGGACCTGTGTCTCGCTTGTGGGAGGCTCGCGCACACCTACTGACTTTGGCGATGCAGCCGGCTTGGAGACCATTCCTGGAAGCGGTGGAATCATTGCAGGGCTTCGGCCCTTTCTGGACTGGCATCCTGGCATGGGATTGCCGTGCTTTGGGAGTGGCAACCCAACTACCCAGTGACCGCCTGCAGTACTGCCCATGGGGCCTCACTGGAGCACGGGCTGGGCTTAACCTGCTCCGTGGTTCGCCACGGCGGGCCCCTTTAGAGGCTGCTGCATGCCGAGCGTGGGGCCAGGCTCTGCTACGCTTCTTGCGCAGGGCAAGCCCTGCGTCAATACTGGGGGAGCCTGTCCCGCCGTACGAGCTCTTCAGCGTGCAATGGTGGTGCTGCGAACTGTCCAAGACTCCCTCCCGGGTGTGGTCCGGCGACTAAATGTGGCACCCTGGCGCCCAGGCTGCTGCCCTGCCCGCAGCGAGCCTGGAAGCGCCCAGCTGGCAAAGTACTGCGAGTGGCCCGCGTCTGCGCAAAAGAGGATGCTAGTTAAAGGCGCTCCGTTCGGTTGCATGCCACAGACTGTGAGCCCAGATGCTTATGCTCCACGTTCTTACGGCCCATTACCTTTATTGTCAGGAGTTACCTACTGAGAGGACTTACCTAGTGTGGGACGCCACTAGACGGGAACTCTGGTGGACGGCTCCTTGAGTACGCCCCAACTGACAACTGGTGCGTGAGTGCTGGACGCAGTGACTCAAACTGAGGGTGACGGAGACTTCGTACTGCTGATGGGAATTAGACATGGAGGCCTTCTCAAGATCCACCCTGCCCGCAGCGAGCCTGGAAGCGCCCAGCTGGCAAAGTACTGCGAGTGGCCCGCGTCTGCGCAAAAGAGGATGCTAGTTAAAGGCGCTCCGTTCGGTTGCATGCCACTGACTGTTAGCCCAGATGCTTATGCTCCACGTTCTTACTCGGCCCATTTACCTTTATTGTCAAGAGTTACCTAGTGTGAGGAGTTACCTAGTGTGGGACGCCACTAGACGGGAACTCTGGGTGACGGCTCCTTGAGTACGCCCCAACTGACAACTGCGCAGTGACTCACACTGAGGGTGACGGAGACTTCGTACTGCTGATGGGAATTAGACATGGAGGCCTTCTCAAGATCCACCCTGCCCGCAGCGAGCCTGGAAGCGCCCAGCTGGCAAAGTACTGCGAGTGGCCCGCGTCTGCGCAAAAGAGGATGCTAGTTAAAGGCGCTCCGTTCGGTGGCCCGCGTCTGCGCAAAAGAGGATGCTAGTTAAAGGCGCTCCGTTCGGTTGCATGCCACTGACTGTTAGCCCAGATGCTTAGGCTCCACGTTCTTACGGCCCATTACCTTTATTGTCAAGAGTTACCTAGTGTGAGGTAACTCAAGATCCACTCACGTTTCACAATCATTGCGGAGATTAACTGAGGATATGTCTCTCGAGTGCCGGTTAAAGCCAGCGCCCGCCATGCGCAGAGCACGCTCGCCCCGCGTTCAATTGAAATAGTCCTAGTAGTCGTTCTGACTTCTACCTTTCAACTTTCAACTTTTAACAGCAAGCTAGAACTTGTGTCTACTTCGTAGACTACAGCCGCAACAGCCAACAGCCAACAGCCGCCCGAAATTATTCCGATTCGGATTACTATTGCCATGAATCATACTCGTATTCCGCAGGCCTTAAGTCCTTAAGCCTGCCTGCCTATTCTGCTTTTGCTTGCGCCGTTCAGGACTCCTTGCCCTTGCAATCACCGAGAAGAAGTGCCGGTCTCTCTGGAATGCCAGGGCCATGTTGGAGGGCCTGAAGTTGGAGGATCTCGTAACGACGATCACGGCGTCAAAGACACGTCTCACGCAACCCCCGGCAAAGGCAAAAGGCGGCGTGGCGATGTTCACCCTGTGTGCTTCCGAGTTTTGCTTGTCTTTCCTGGAGAAGAACCCGACGCCTCCCCAAATCCAGCGGGGCCTGAATGACATTTACAAGTTGGTGTTGGACGACTTCCAGCTGAAGAAGGAGGACTTGCCGAACTCCGTGAAAGAGAAGCTCGATTCCTTGGCAAAAACAACAAAGGAGGATGCCCGAACTAAGGACAAGCTCAGGATGCCGCCCCCTCCTGCCCCACCGAGTGCAGCAGCGAAACGTTGAAACCCCGACAAGGCCTGACAACCGGCTGCAACATGTGCGCCCCGGTCAATATGACACGTGTTGAGGCAGAGTTCTGGCCTAGCCCTAGCCTAGCAAGCAGTTCTGGTTCTAGTCTGTTCTTGGGTTTCAAATCTTTGGGGCTGGCCTCCGGCCACAGGGAGTAATGCATTTGGTCCATCATAGTCTAGTCATAGTCATTGAGTCATGAGTCAGAATTTCATTCGTCGTCAGTCAAAAAAGTCATGAGTTATAATTTCATAATTCATAATTAATAATAATACAATGCGGCATCGGCGTAGGTAGAAATAGGGCCAGCGTCAGAGTCGTCGTCGCCTCATGTCATACACAGGCACAAGCTGCATAGGCTATCACAGACTGCTGTGCTCTACTGTTGGCATGGGGCCTCTGTTGCAAGTCCGGAAACTTGACGGGTGCCTTGATGTTCTGATTCTTCGCACTCGTTGCATCGCGACAGGAGGAGAGCGGCGCAGCACTTTTTGCGTTTAAGAGCTCACGTGGCCCACTGCTTCATTACGAAACGGTCTGCAGTGTACTGTTGTATTTGTATAGTCTGTGCGAGTTGTGTGAGCATGGAGCCAATAGCCAACTAAATCGAGTAAGCCCCAGCTAATGAAGCACCTGCGCCACCCCACGGACACTACGTATGGACTCGGCCTGCAGCCAGTCATTCATCCACAAGATTTGCGGCACGCTTGACAGTTCCGCGATTCCTCGTTCGGGTGCCTCGCCAGTTACTTACTGTGCAGAGTGAGTCCTAGTCCTAATCATTGTTGATAGTCTAGCCTAACTCAGCCTAACGGTGTGTTGTAGTCGACAAAATTGATTGTGATGCCGCGAATTGCAAATGAAGCGCGTATGGCACCCGTCACCCGGCCTGCAGCCAGTCACTCAACCGCAAGAGTTGCGGCACCCCGGACAGGGCCACGACTCCTCGGGTGCGATCTGTTGAGACCGCTGTCGTATCTTTCTGGCCTGTGTCATGATAAATCGTGGGTTCTAGAAGACGTTTCTCAAAAGTTCGAATTCGTTGCGCATCTACCTAGATTGTAGCAGTGCCGGCTGTAGTCAGCTGTGAGTTCAAAGCAGAATCACTACCGACGGAATCCTCAAGGCAGTGGGTCTATCAGTTCGTGCCAAGTTCAGGATTGCTTTTCTCGATTTGGCTGCGTACGGCAATGTGACAATATGGCAAATGATCATTCAGGCAGCTGTGGAGCGTTGCCTGATTAATTAGCTCGCGCCGATCGTGCACCTTCGACTCTCTTGGAATTCAATGCACGCCGCTTTCGATGTGCAAGTGAGCGTAGCAGAAGTGAGAATGTCACATTTTGTTGGCACAAGTGCCAGTGCAGGACATCAAGATGCCAAGAGTGTGTGTGTGACAGCATACGCGATGTGGTTTACAGGACTGGGGCCCAAGTCCTCAAGATGAAGTTCGCGAAAGGGCGAAGATGCAGTCGCGCCGGCTGCAGCACGAGCTCCCAGACACACGAGAGTGCCTCTGCTCCATCACTTGTTGGCTTTCCTGAAGTGAGTTGACAAACTATTGTTACTATTGTTGCTAGCTCAGCTTTGGGCAGGTATTCCGAGAAGGCTACCCGTGAGACCGGCGGCTTCGAATGGAGGAAGCGCTTAACTGCGTGCCACATCGATACGTTGAACTATGTGTACGATGCGGCCAAGGCGCTGAGGGTCGAGGGCATGGTTTGCAGACGTCTAGCGTCTACCTTACGGGATGCACGGTTCGCGAAGATTCAAAATCATTTTGTTACATAATTTAAAAAGAATATACAGCCGCCACATAACAGACCATTGATCATCACACAGCATACAGAATCAAACAGTGTACAGTATACATTACAATATACAGTATTACAAGCAACGCAGCCATGGCCATGGCCTTTTCATTGTGACGAACACCGTAAATAACTCATGTAGTGTGCCCGTGAAGGCCAAAGGTATGGACGTGGACTCGCTTGTTGCCGACATCTCCAAATCGGCCCACCGGGCTCCCCATCGCTCAGACGGACGTATCCCCACGTACCTTGTCTGGGAAGTTGCAGTCACTGGTCAATGTAACGTCAATGTGGCTTGTGTTGCGTCGTGTAGTCGTTGGCCCGTGCCCAGGATGACTACCAATGCCAGACTGTGGAATTACCGAGCCCATCGCTCCTTGGGTGGACTGTGCATGTTGGCTACACATGCCTTTCCTGTGGACGAGATGGAGATGACTCCGTTTAAATCCCGCCCGCTCTCTTTCTGGTCGTTGATCGCAGGCCGGTCGGCCTGTTGCTTGCAAAGGTGCGTAGAATCAGTGATGTGACAGGTGACAGTGGTGTGATTGCAGTAGTGACGGTAGTGGTCTGTGAGTCTACAGTCTAGACAGTCTATAGAGAGTGACCGTGTGACTATGCCGCATCTATGCGGCTATTATGTGAATGTATTACTGCAGTATGTCGGCGATGATGTCTCAATGTCGATGTCAATCTCACTGACTCACTGTCACCTGTCCCTGTCAATTACTATGACTCTGACTCTCGGACTATGACTCATGACTTTCATGCTCTGATTGTCCGAATGGTCTGTGTCAAAGGCTTAGCAGCAGTCTGTCCTGTCAGTCAGTCATTTAGTCAGTCAGTGGACCCATATTATATAGAAATAATTCATAGTGTACTGTGTTGTATAGTTATATAGTCTAGTCTAGTTCTATTTTAGTTTATTTGGATGTTTTTTCAAGCAAGTCCGGTTTTTCATATTTGTCAGGCAGCCTGGCTTAATTACGTTGTCGTCTCCTCTCCATAGCTTTGTCTGTTTGGTCTGCGTCGGTCTGTTTTGCATGTTACGGCTGCAGCAGTCAAATCGGGCTTTCTGGCGCAGCGCTTGGGCCCTCGAAGTGAGTTGCTTAGTTCGTTGCCTTTACTCGGAGAGCCATGAGTTCGTCATCGAAGCCAGAGCCGACATCCGCAGGCACGTCATCGAAGCCAGAGCCGAAATCCGCAGGCACGTCATCGAAGTCAGAGCCGAAGGCCGCAGGCACGTCATCGAAGCCAGAGCCGAAGGCCGCAGGCACGTCATCGAAGCCAGAGCCGAAGGCCGCAGGCACGTCATCGAAGCCAGAGCCGAAGGCCGCAGGCACGTCATCGAAGGCGGTGCCGATTGCCGCATCCACGGCGGCGGCTCGCGGCAAGAAGCCAGCACGCGCCACGGAAGAGGATCGCCAGCGTGCTGACTTAGTCAAGGAGGCCAACGACGAGATTTGGGGACAGGCAATGATGCTGCCGATGCATGAAAGCGAAGAGCCGTCGCCTGATGACATCCAAGAGCCCGAGCTTTTGGTGTTCAAGTTTGACGGAGACATGGACATCCGCTTTGGAGATTTTGGAGATGGAGATGGCGATAGCGATGACAACAAGGACTCCTTCGTCTTTCAGATTAAGCCTTCCGAACCGTGAGGGTCCAAGCAAGACGCCTAAAAGGCCAATCATTGCAATCATGCAGTCTTCAGTCTTGCCATGGCTTTACAACCCAGGACCCAGTCAATAAACCAACAGTCAATAACTTCAATAACTTTATCCTAAACCTTCAAAAGCCTTAACTCCTTAACCTTAAGCCTTAAAACTTGAACCCTGCACTCTGCGATGTTTGCTTTAGAGTCAGTAAGTCCGGAGTCCGTAGTCCAATGCCGGAAATCCTATAATTTCACATGTTTCAGCGAAACTTTCATGCTCCGTGGCAAGACTGAACATCGACGATTTTGGCAGTGAGTGGCTGTGACCAGAGGCAGACAAAACATTGGAGTGCTAGTGCTACTTGCCAGACTTGCCACTTGCAAGGTCTTAGTAGCAGTCTCAGTGCATTCGTCAGTGTCTCCTGCAGGCAATACCATGGCCGTACCTGCGGTTGGGGCCTGCTTGCTCGCAGCTGCTGGGCGATTTATTTCCTGTGACCCTAGACAAAGAGGGCATGAGAAGCCTCGGAGCCTCGATATGATATGATATGGTTGAGCCACCCTTCCGCTCAGGTGTTGCTTCACGGCAATCTGGGCCCATGCCATCGTGACTTCCGAAGGCAGCTCCCAGGGCCAGGGCAACCGCGAGCTTTGCGACGTGAAAGCGATTGGACTTCAGATTCGGAGGAAATGGATTGCTCCGATGACTGAGCCGCAGACCTTTTTGTTGCGCTTGCGTCATACTATGCGTATGACTCACTCTGAAACCGTGTGATCCGCACGGTCGGCCTTACAGACTAATGTAACTTATGATTCGTGTGTGTGTGTGTGTGTCCTCTATATTCTGTGGTACTATCTGCATACAGCATACGACATACAGCATACATACATACATACATGCAGTGCTAGGTCGTACTGTGGAGAGCTGCCATGCATTGAAAATTCGCTGGCGAGCGCAGGGTGCTGAATGATGAGCCTTTGGGGCGAAGGGGTGAGCCTCTAGCACACTCAGCCTCTAGACTTTCAGAACAGACCTTACTGCTGTTCAGCAGTTCAGCATGCTTCACCGCTCACCCGGGCCCCGAGCATTTGTGCTTTTGGACTTGGTTCGGCAGACGCCTCGCTTCGGACGTCATCGAACAACAGTGATTGCTGCGTGGTGTAAGGGCTACAACTGGAATTGACTGGAATCCAGGTACTTAGGACTTAGAACTATTCACCAGTAACCTGAAAGTTTGAACTAGGGTCTTGCGCAGGGTTTGTTGCGGATTTTGCCGGCGGCAGTGCGAGTTATCATAAAGGGGTTTGACGAGGATTCTGCCAGCATCATGTTGGTTTTTGCCACAGGTTTTGTCATGGCTTCATCCACCATGACGTTGGCTTTGGACGCAGTTTTTCTTGGCATGTCCCGGCTTAAGGCAGATTCTTGACGCAGGTTTTGCCATGATTTCTCCCAGTTTCAAGTCGACTTTTGACACAGGTTTTCCCAGCAATTGACGCAGGGTTTGCCCGGGCTTTGACCCACCTGTTGCCGGCCTCCCAGCCGGCTTTTGACACAGGTTTTCCCAGCAACTGACGCAGGGTTTGCCGGGGCTTTGACCCACCTGCTGCCGGCCTCCCAGCCGGCTTTTGACACAGGTTTTCCCAGCCATTGACCAAGGGTTTGCCGGGGCTTTGACCTACGCGTTGCCGGCCTCTGGGCCGGGGTCCGAACCATGCCTAGTGTAGAATGCTTCTTACACGCAGGAATGGTTCAACAAATAACCATGCCAAGCGAGGGGAACACATGAGATGTCATGAACACAGTCAAAATGAGCGTGTGAACTTCAATTTATGGCCCATGTGAGAGAGCGCCAAATAAATACTTAGCTAAAGTCAATAGGCTTCTGTTGGGAGCACTTGAAAAGCCTGTGAGGTGAGGGGTTCCGCCAGTGTGCGTGCGGTGTGCGCGATGTGTGCGTGCAGTCGTGTGTACGTGTGCGTGCGGTGTGCGCGGTGTGTGCGTACAGTGCGCGCGGTGTGTGCGTACAGTGCGCGCGGTGTGTGCGTACAGTGCGCGCGGCGTGTGCGTACAGTGCGCGCGGTGTGTGCGTACAGTGCGCGCGGTGTGTGCGTACAGTGCGCGCGGTGTGTGCGTACAGTGCGCGCGGTGTGTGCGTACAGTGCGCGTGGTGTGTGCACACAGTGCGCGCGGCGGGTGCGTACAGTTGTCCAGTTGTCCGCCGTGCGTGTACATGCGGTGCGCGTGGTTTGTACGGATGAAGCCCGGGTCCCTGCCCTGTGTCGTTTTGCAATCTGCTCACCGCGCGAACTATACTTTGATGGGCTGTGGGTTAGCTACTGATTTAGCGAGGTTGCCGCTGTTAGTATAAGTATACACTAACAATGGTGTAACCATGTTCTAAGTGCAGTGTCAAGGGTTATAACTGTTCTAAATGAATAGATGAAATGCTAACTGTTAGAGTAAAATTAGGATCATGATAATTTCATGTTAATTTTAGCATAATTTTAGCAGCTTGTGTTTTTAACTTTTGATAAGGGAAATGTATGTATTTGAATCATGCTTCTTCCTGGCTTCATGCATGACATGCAGCCCGTCCGGGCTTTTGGCATGGCAGCCCTTGGGGCTTCGAACATGTATGTCATGCAGTGTTTTTCATGCAACCTGCATGCAGGTTTCCATGGCAATGCTTGTTGGCTAAGCAAATCTTGCATTCAGCCTCCATGGCTTCTTGTTGTTGTTTCTTGTTCGTGCATGGTCTTGATTGCATGGATGTTGTGTGGACTATATAGAGTTTTCTGCCCGAGTTCCCTCCTGACTTCCAGCTTTGTTCCTGTGAATAATGGATTTCGTTGGATGGCATGCCTGTGCTACTCCCGGGTGCCAGAGATTATGCCGAGCTTCGAAGAATTATTGCTGCTCCAATTGTCGCAAGAACTATGGCAACCATTCTCGGAGATGTGAGGATGTTCAAGTGCATCGCAATAGCGAGCTGCCACCTGGCACGAACGTTCCTTGTCAAGGCTCGCCACAGTGCGACAGGATGACGACGAGTCCTCACCATTGGTGCTGTAGCTGGTGCAAGTCAGGGCTAGGGGTGCACAAGCCATCCTGTACGGTTCGGCAGAACCGCATGGCCTTGCAGAATCTTTCCCAGGGCCAGGGCCAGGGGCAAGGGATTGATTTGAACGGCATGGATTAGATGGGCATCGTGCGGGCAGTTTATGAAAAAGAAAACCAGGAGGGTCCTCGGTGCATAGCTTGATGTGCTTGGAATCAAGTGTGGCTGTGTATAGGTGCATCCAAAGCACCTATTTGCAGATCAGGAGCCCCCTTGCAAGGCGAAAAATTCAAAGGACCCCAGGCCCGGCCATGGAGGAGAAACTCGCCGCAGAGATCGCCCGAATCATGGACAACACGGAGGTCCAGCCCAACAGAAAGCTCGACAGGCTTGTCAACTTCTTGAAAGAATCGCAACTGGCCTACACCACCACCTTGAGGCCAGCAGAGCTACTGGTTCATCCTCACAATCGCGGAGGCAGCATGCTCAATCCGCTGGATGTCCATAGCAAAGGACAAAAGCTTTTGGATCTTGGTTTCAGACCTTCGCTGCTCACGGACAGCATCGCGATCGAACTTTCTCCCCTAGAAGACAAGCGGAACGAGCAAATCCGGGCGAACACGGACTTGAGTGAGAGGTCCAACGGGTGTTGTCACCGGTCTTGGGGTCGGAAAGAGCCATGACGGTGAGCTCCTCCCACACCACTGCCTATTTAAAGGCATCCTTGATGAAATGCAAACGACCCAACTCGGGAGGCAGCCTCAGCCTTGAGGATGAGTGCATGCGAGATGCAGTGAATCAGGGGTGGCCCTGGCTCCTGATTTCTTGGCGGGCAGAGGCCATGGCCCCCAACCTCCCAGCCTTCGTCCAGATGGTTTTGAATTCGGTTCATCGGTAGGCCTAGCCTGCCAAGAAATCGAAGCTGCACAGCAAGTTGCTTTGATGTGCACGTCTGGCTCCACGGTGAAGGATGCCGTGAACTCAGTCAAGGCATCCAAACCTGCATGCGAAGACTATATGGAGCATGTAGGAGTTTATGTCCAAAAATTTGGAGGCGGCAGCCCCTTTCCTTTGATTTCATTCTTGGCAAGTTTTGCCAAGGATTTGGCCCTTACTGTTGCAGTAGGAGAGGAAACTTTTAAGGCCATTACGGCTTGGGATCTGCAGGAGCCCTCGACTCAGTTCCCATTGCTGCGAGCCGCCCTCTTAGCTTGTCAGCTCACAAGCCCGAAAGTTGTCGACGGCACAGCCCGTCTGCTTGTCAAGCAGGATCTGGGCCGCCTCAAAAGCGCCCAGCTCCGACAGGCCCTCCTTCAAGCTGAGCAGATTCTGGAGCACGGATACCAGGTGTATCGAGATGCAGGTGAAACCCCAGCAGTGCAGCGAGCACTCGGCCGGATGATGGTGCGACTTTCTTTGCTCCCCACTAAGAAGGAGAAGTATGGTCGTGAGAAGGTTATGTATGAGTCTCAGGAGAAGGTGGCCCAGCTCTTCGCTACCGAAGCTTTGAACACGAACCCATCGGGCGCTAGCTCTGCTGGCGGGAGCGAAGCGGATGAGAATCGGGAGGAGGACCGGCCCCTGAATCTCTTGGGTGGCATGAGTGTAGGGGAGCAAGCTTTGCTGCAGAACCCGCACTTGAAGAAGGATGGGAAGTACGTGCATGCGGACTACCCAGACAAGATCTTTGTTTTCGCTGGGCTCGAGAATGACGAGGCCAAGTTCGTGCACACCCCCTTGTTTGCCTCGCCCGACATCGTTATGACATCGCCAGAGCACTTCAAGAAGTGGAAGGTCACTCGCCTCCCAGTGCCGAGTGTGTTGGCTGCGGACGAATCCGTTAAGTTCACCTACGGTGGCAGTGCTGTCTTGAACGATGCGAAGATCTTGGCGGATGGGCAGCAGCAGCTTTTCCAGATCTTCGCAGACCAGAACACCGGCGATTCTTCATGCTTGCATTTCATCCACCCTACGGCGGTGTACACCTCGGAGAGCTTTGCGAAGAAGAAGCTTCGCCTCATTCCTCTGGCGAACATGACGAGAGCCAAAGAAGGGCAGAAGCTCAGTCTATGGGTCGAATGGAATGGCAACAAGTACCAGTTGTCTCCTTTTCCGCAGTTGAAGGATTTCGGGGAGCAGCCCGACTGCAAAGAAACATAGGATTTAGAGGCTTTCGCCTAAATCATAAAGCTATGCATGTCTTATAAGGCCGAAGAAGACTGATACCATCGTGCCCTTCTACTGGATCAAGACCACGTCCTCGGAGGAAGAGGTCAACATGGTTGTGCAGTGGAAAACCTTAGCCGGCATGAAATTGCCCATGCTCGTCAACAACAAGAAGGTGGCCAAGCACACGATGCTCATGCACGCCTCGAAGGAGCTGCTGCAGAAGCAGGAGAAGGAGAAGGGTTCCTTGAAGAGGAAGGCTACCTGATCGATCTAGCACCATGCCACGTCGGCTGCAGGATTTTGATACACCTGGCATGCCACCAGGGTTTTTGCCGGCAGCTGCTGTGAAGGGTTGGTTGTCTCTGCAGAATAGATGTGTTTGTGCATCATGCAGCAACAGCCAGCCTGTAGCTTCGTTTTGGTTGTTGTCTGTAGGAAACATGTGTTTGTGCATCATGCAGCAACAGCCAGCCTGTTGCTTCGTGTTGGTTGTAGTTGTGATGCAGAATGCATGCTTGAAGCAAGCATGTTCGGTCATGCAGCTCCTCCGAGCTTTTGCATTTCTCGTGTTTTGCTGACTTGTTGCTTTGATCTACCACAACTCAGTTGTTGGGTTCAAGCTGTTCTTTTGAGCTGAGCGCTTTTGTTGCTGCTGGAAGCACCATGGTGAGCATCGGCACTTGCACGACGATTACATGGCAAGCTCGTGAGGTCGTGGTGCCCAACGATTTGATCGTCGAGATTTCCGGTGTCAAGTACCTGAAGATCCAGCCCTCGAACAGGGTGCTGATGAAGTTACTCCTGGGTTCTAGGCAAGCAAGTCTGACTGCTTCTCCAGGTTTGCAAAGAGGGCAGGGAGGAGGCAATCCAGAACTTCTTGAAAAGCGAGGGCAAGGGATCGGGGGCGGAATCGAAGAAGAAAAAACAGAAAGTGCAGCCGAATGTTGAATATGTGATGGTGGACGGCATTCAGATCGGGGTTCAAGCCAAGCACAAGTCCACCATGGATTTGTTGATCCTGTTGGAGTCAGAGAGCTTGGAAATGGTTTTCGCCAAGATCACTGAGGACTCTTAGCAATGTAATAGCTGCATGAATGTGTCTGTTATTTTTGGTGCTAGGTAACTGCCAAGCTTCTTTGCAGGATGCGGATCCCGACGAGAGGCGGGTTTACCGGAGACGTAGAGCTGGACGGCAATGTTCCTCTGAAGAGAAGGAGGAGGATTCTCATTGAGCTGGAGGTGTCTCGCTGGTATACCATAGAAAAGGAAACAAAGTCCGTTTCCTTGTAGGGTTCGTGAGCAGGGTACATGTGCTAGAATGGATGGTGCTTGATGATGTATTGCTTTGTGTTTCTGCATGCAGTCCTCTCGAAGGGCTTTTCATGTTCCCTCAGACCTTGCATGTGATCTTGCATGCAGTCCTGCTTGACAGGGCTTCATGATGCATGTCGGTTTGCGAGCAAGAGACACTTGAATTGTGCAATGAGGAGCATGTCAATGATTCTGTGCACCCGTGCCGCCCCAAGGCAGGTAAGCAGTAGAAGCATGCAGCAGAAGATGCATGAACCATTCCATGCATGTGGGAAACACCAGAAGATTGTGGGAAACACTTTCAAATGTTGTGGTTGAGCTCCTGCAGCCTGCATAATAGTGGGTTCCCAGAGATGCAATCCATGTTGTGTGTGAGATAGAAGAATCTCTGGTCACGCCAAGCTTGTGCAATCTCCATGTCAAACTACAAGCTCCAAACCATTTAAATAGGTTTGGAGCCACTCGTGCCTCGCGATCATGGCAACTGAGCCGTCGACAAAGAAGGAAGAGGAGGAGGAAGAGGAGGTGGAGGTCAAGTACTACGAGCCGCTTGACGGCGAGCTCGCATGGGTCCGCGAGCAGGTCCGAGGATGGACCAAAGCCGAGTGGCGATCCTGGTTTGCTGGCTTGTCCGAGCAGGACCAAGAGTGGTGGGAGCGGGCTGCTGCCACGTACCCTCACGAGTTTGACGACAAGGCCATGCAAGGAGGACTGGGCTTACATGGGGTTCGAGGTTGCTGGGGCTTTGGATTCGTTTCATGCAGTCCTGCTTTGTGGCAGGGCTTTTGTGCATTACTTGTAGAGCAGATGTGCAGCCTTTGCTGCATGGAGCCCTGCAGGATCAGAGCAGCCCAAGCAGGAGCAGGCGGCGGAGACTGCCAATCAGGGGAGCCTGGGTGTGGAGGATCCTGTGTGGGCAGGAGTGGGCCCAGACTCTTTCTTGTTTGGTGTAGCAGAAGTTGAAAGCCTTTCTGTTATGTAGTAAAGCACAACAGAAACCGACCCTGCACGAACCCTTAAGTCTGAGGCAGCAATGGCAACGGCTTCAAAAGCGCCGTTTCCACCTGCACCTGGGATGGCGGCGGCACCGGTGGCACCGGTATGTGCACCGTTGGTGCCTAGCACACATGGCTTGGTTATGCCTGAGTTTGCTGGCTATGGCTTCCCTTGGGCTGTGCCGACTGGTGCTCCTATGACCACAGCAGGTGCTGGCTTGCAGACGATGGCCACAGCAGGTGCAGCTGGCTTGCAGACAATGGGCACAGCAGGTGCAGCTGGCTTGCAGGCAATGGGCACAGCAGGTGCAGCTGGCATGCAGAGGATGGGCACACCAGCTGGTGTTATTCCGATTGCTGTGCAAATGGGTCCTGGCTTTGTGGGCGGTTCAGAGACTCAGGGGCCTGGCCGCGAGATGAAGCAGGAGGATGCAGGAGGGAAGACAGAGGTTTTTTCGACCGCCCGGGCGGCGGCGACGGTGGCTCCTGTCTTAGAGCCTGTGGAGGCGATGCAAGCACCGCTGTGGAAGGGCCCACCGCCAAAAAAGAGAAAGGCAGAGGCCGTGGCTGCCGAGGACGAGTTCAGCAAGCTGGGGGTTAACAGACCTCCTCCAGCACCAGCTATGAGGGAGCAGGGTCAGGCGGCGACATCCTCGAGCAGTGCCCTGCCAAAGCCCTGGATGGACTCGAGACGGAGCACAAAGCTTCAGAGCGGCTGCCGGTTCTGTTTTTGGTGATGCAGCACTAATCATGTGTGCTTCTCTCTTGTTGCTGTGCACATGCAAGTTATTGTGTGGTCCATGCAGCAGTGTTCCTGCTTCTTGAAAACCATGCAGCAGTGATCCTGCTTCTTGAAAAACCATGCAGCTTTGTGCTTCTATGTAGTTTTGTTTGCAGTTGCAGATAAAGCTTTTCGCTGTTTACATGCAGCAGTGATCCTGCTTCCTGACAACCATGCACGACTTTCTGTGCTTTCCTAGCATGAACACTTGTCGCCATTGTTGTTTTAGGCGACTTCTGTTTCACTTGTGGTGCTCTGCCGGGCCCAGAGACCAGTCAGAGACCATGGCTCGGTGGACCGCCGATGACTTCGTGCAGGAGCTGAACTCCATCCAGAGGCTGGTGGGCATGAGGCCCGGCACCGACATGGAGCCTAAGCTCGTGCAGGCACTGCAAGATCGCATGGCCCATCACCCGGGATGGACGGCGGATCAGCTGTGCAAAATGATGGAAGCAGTGGGCGAATCTAGCTTGTCCGGCAACAGCAAAGATGGCTTGCTCAAAGCCTTGGATGATGCTGCAGGCCCCACAATCGCTGGTCAGTCCCAGGTACGACTCACTAGCAAACCCCAGACCCTCGTGCAACTCTGCAACTACCTCTCCAAGTCAGATTGGGCGAAGTTGTCTACTTCGAGCAGCTGGGATGCTACAGTGGTCGTCAGCGAGAGGCTCCGGAGGCTCGGGCTCACGAGTCTCAAAGAAGAGACGAAAAAGTATGCAACCGGCATCATCGTCACTTGTCAGATAGAAAGACTCGGCATTGCTCCATCGTACGACGACATCTACAGACTCGCAGAGCAATTGCACAAAGTCTTCCTCAGTGTGCAAGTTCCACGAAAAGCAGCAGGAGTGACAGTCTATCCTTTGCACCCATCAGAGCTCGGACCGGGCTTCATGAAGGATGCTTATGATCCAGAGGACCCACCGGAGCCGAGAGACCTCCCAGGTCTTGTAGCCCGGGTGGTGAATGAGACACCGGTGCGAAGCACGTCCAGTTTGTTGTCGTGGAATCAAGAGAAGAAGAACAAGAAGAAGGGCAAGGATGCTGCTGGTGACGATGCCTTGCATATGCAAGCCCTCATGCACAGGTTCTTGCAGCAGACGGTCGGCGGCACGGGCATGAACAATTTCAATGCAGTGCAGCCGGCAAGGAATGGCAGCTTGGGAGCTTTGCAGGAGCCATGCCCCATAGCATCCGGTATGCAAGGTGTGCAAGCAAACACAAGCACGCAAAGCAAAGGCACTGTGCCCAGCAGCCTGGCTGCTTCAAGCAGTCTGCAGGCTTTGCAGAACATTGCCTCGCCCCAGCATGCCGCCCAGACCTCCTCGTCCCCGCGAGTGCCAGCCCAGCAATGCACCAGAGACTCCATGCTGCAGACTCCTTCCTCCGTGGCTCCCCCTCCTGGCCTGACTCAGGTAGTGCCTGTGGAGGAAAAGGATCCCCCAGACCAGCCCCAGCCCCAAGAGCATGTGAAGGAAACCGCCGTGACAACACCTGCAAGCAGCAGCAAGCTCGAGGCGATCGAGCAAGAGGCTTTCAAGGCTTTGCAGGCCCAAAGCAAGCCGGGAGAAAATAAGAAGCGAGGGGCTCCAGATCAGGGCAAAGCAGTCATGAAGAGGCCTTCGGCCAAAGCCAGTGCAGCCAAGCCGGTTGGGAAAGCCAGCGCAGACCCGCTAAAACTTGGTTGTATTCGCTGCCGTGGCTGTCGAACAGGATGTTCGCAGTGTCAGGATCCGGGGTTCAATGGACTCCGCCTGACGAGGGAGGAATGGAAGGAGTGGTATGCCAAACGGCAGCTTGCCCTCGCAAAGGGCAAAGCCTGCAACAAGAAGTCCAAGAGCAAGAAGTGACTGAGTTAGCCTTGGTGTTTTCAATGGGTGGGTAGCTATATATAGCTTCGCACTGCAGCAAAAGCTGCTTCGTACAGCAAAAGCTGCCCGGTGCATTAATCACTGCAACCGTGTTCCATGGCATCCTGCTTCATTCGAAGCGGGCAAGCGCGCAGCAGAACAAAAAGTCATTGCAGCCCAGCCGGGCTTCATGTTTGCATGGCCAGATAGCTCCATGCAGCTCTGCATGACAGGGCTTATGCAGGCATGCCATGCTGATTCGGCCTGGGTTCTATATGAATTGTTCCTTGCTTTGCTTTCCTTGTGCTTCTTAGACATTGCCTCGGAAATGGCGCTTAGGGCCCACAGCTCCGTGTGTTTTCACATTTGGAGCTACCTTCCCAGTCCACTGTGTGGCCTGGATGCTTTGTTATATGTTTTGCTCTATAGACAGACATGCAACCGTCATTCTGTTTGGCGGTTCCCGGGTTTTGTGCTGTGGCATTTGTGTTTAAACGGCAGAAGCAAAACCCGGTGTTGAGTTGAAGCTCCATGCATATGCATGGACTGTGTAAGGCTCAATAGCCAAGTCTTGCAGTTGGCACCCATACGGGTCGCAGAATTTTCTCGTCGACAGTTCCTTCCGATGTACATTCTGGCGGTGTGTAGGTGTGTACAGCTACATCTATATTGGGGTTTGAAGTTGCAGGGTTGGAAAATGTTTCATTTGATGTCACTTTACAGTTTTATGTTGATGTAGCTGAGTTTTGAATGCATCTATAGATGTGCACATGCATTCTGCATATAGTCTGCTTGCATCCAAATTCGATTGATTCTACCTGAGCAATAATGTCTTCTTCTTCTTCTTCGAAGACAGACGACCGGCCACAGAAGCTGCAACGGTTGAACTCTTTGAGAAGAGCAGCACCTTACTGTAGTAAGAGTGCTCTGCGTGGCCTCTTGCAGGATATTCATGATCATGGCATGCCAAAGCTGACAGACCCGAAGCAGATGAGAGAAGCGACAAGGTCGTACTTGGGCAAGAAAGAAGCTTACGGGCCTCTCTTGGAGAAGCAGGAAGCCAAGACAGTGTCTGGTGGCACGGTCGCTTTTTGGCTGGTGAATGTTTTCAGCCTGCTGGATGGGATTTGCCGTGCCGGTGGTGCTTTCTACGACTTGCTTCGGAGCTGTGCAGAGAAAGCGGGCGGAAGGCCACTCCGATTCGCGATCTACTCAGACGAGGTAATCCCAGGCAATGTCCTTGCCGCCCGAACCTCGAGGAAGAGCTGGTGCATCTATCTCTCGTGCATAGACTTCCCTGCACAGGTGCTTGCGATGGAAGAGGCCTGGCTCACCATCGCACTGCCGAGGAGCTCTTTTGTGGCCTCGCTGGAGGGAAGTATCAGCCAGATCTTCAAAATCATCTTTCGCAGTATCTTCTTGCACTCTAAGCATGACCCGGCGGCAGGTGTTTGGATGCAGGGGCCGAAGGGCGGGTTTCATTTGTCATTCGAGCCAAGCATGGTAATACAAGACGGGGCAGCTCACAAATTCGCTTGGAGTGTGAAAGGTGACTCGGGTTCGAAGTATTGTTTGTTGTGTGGCAATCAGCGAGCCGACAATCGCAACGAAGAGAAGATCCCCAAGCATGCACATGCTGACTTGCATTTGGTTTCGGATGACGATATTTGGGATTCTTGGTCGAGGCTCGCCGACCTGAAGGGCCGGTGTTCAGCCAAAGACTTTGGCATGTGGCAGCAAGCCACTGGGTGGAGCTTCAAGACAGAAAGCATTTTTTCGGAGCCTCTGCTGAGGAGGGTGGTCAAACCAGCAACCATGTTCGTGCACGATTGGATGCATTGCTGCTTGAGTAATGGAACATTGAATGATGCGACCTAGCCTGGTTACTTCTCAGTGCCACGAAGGACCATGGCTTCAAGGATGTTTTTGCCACTCTGGAGAAATACGTGGATCTGTGGACACAGCCGGCTTCCTTCGCACACGTAAAGCTGAAGCAAGTCTTCGAGAACAAGCGGATGAAATCCTGTAGAGAAGCGGGGAAGTTCAAAACGACAGCTTCCGAAATGCTCAGTTTGCTGCCGGTCCTCGCCTTTTTCGTCCGAACCTGCATCCTTGACAAAGGCTTCCTACCATCCGAGTGCGAAGCTTTTTTGCAGATGTGCCTTATGGTGGAACTATTGCAGGCCGCCTGCCATGGGCATGGTTGTGTGCTTCCATCCATGTTGCGAGAGGCCGCCGACAAGTGCATGAGCTCTTGGTTCGAAACGGGCTGGGGGGAGCACGTAACCCGCAAGATGCACTGGTTGCTGCATATGGGTGACCACTATGAAAAGCACAAGAGGCTGCCTGCAACATTCAGCATGGAGCGGAAGCACAGGACAATCACCAGATATGCAGCATCCATCCAGAACACCAGCACTTTCGAGCGATCCCTCTACGAGGAAGTGCTTGCCCATGAGCTGTGGCACTTGGAGAAGTTGCCCGAGTTTCCGGTCGCCCTCGCTCTGGAAAACCCACGGCAGAAGCCCCCCACCAAGCTCTGAAGATCGCAACGATTCTACGGCTTCCTGGTGGTGGGTTGGCAAGCAAGGCAGACGTGTGTTTGCTGCAGGCAGACAAAGGGCGGGACCCTCCTTGGGATTGTGCCGAAGTTTTTTGCCATGTTCCCGTGCAAGGCACATTGTGGTCCGTGGTCTCCCTTTGGAGCTTGCAGGAGTACAACAAGGACAAGCACTGTGCAGTGTGGACCGAGATGGAGCAGCCTGTGATTATCGAGAGCAAAGACATCCTGACAGCGGTGGTCTATTTGAGAGACACGAATTGTGTCCGCACTTTAATCCCTTTGCACCTCCGTAGCTGACAAACTTCTTCGAGGGCCTGGCTCTCCGTTTCACGACAGCCAAAAAAAAGGATCTTCTCGCTCAGCATGCACCTCTGGGTCATGCTACATGCACATGACAAACATGGTCATGCAGACATGCCATGAAATAGCAGATGCAAGACAAAGAAAAGCTGCTTACATGATGAGTCCAAGCATGCTCCTTTGGATCATGCTATATGCACATGACAAACATGGTCATGCAAACATGCCATGAAATAGCAGCTGCAAAACAAACAAAAGCTGCTTAAAACATGCATGGAATATTTCCAGAGTTTCACAGGGCATGTCTTTATTTTCCTTGCTCAGCACCCTGGTGCTTCTGTCTGCATGAGTTGAAGTTGCTTTTCCACATGATGTTCAGCTGGGAAATGAAGGATTCAAAATTTCATATTGCCCGCCTTTTTTATACAACAACCTTAAAATCCAAAAGCACAGAGCCATTCCCATGTCATCGGCCACTGGCCACGGGAACATTTTCATCTCATAAATCCTGTTTTTGTCCTTCAAAAGCACACATGAAAGCATGCACATGTCACGGAAAATCTCATGTTATGCACTACTTCTGTGTTACTACTTAACTAGTTAGCTAATTTTTATATCTGTCATTTCTAATCATCTTAACTCACCTAACTCCTTAGCTAACCCACGGCCCATCAAAGTAGTATCCATATAGTGTACAGTGCGCAAAGTGCACGTGTACATTGCCGGCGGTGCACGCCTGCAGTGGGGGCGTATATACAGAGTGCGCTCTGTTCTTGTGCACACTGCACGCAACGACATGTGCAGAAGAAGGATACCTAGTATGGTAAACAAGGGTATTTCGTGAAAACAAATCATGCAATTTAGTCATGACGGTGATGTTCGTGATATGTGCTGTGATGTCGATGCCTGAACACTCATGGAGAGACGAATCTCTGAAACACATTGAATTTAGAATCTGTGTCATGGAAACACTCATACGAATTAGATCTAAAGTAAAGAGTCTTGCGCCTAAATCGTTACAGGACACAAAAGGGCACCCCTCTTCTAAACTCTAAATCAAATTGAAAGTGCTGGCAGTTGCAGACGCAAGTTTAGCCCATGTTTCGAGTTTGAGTGTACTGGAGAAATTAAAACAAGAAAGATACTAAACTTGGAAGACAAAACGCCAACTTTGACATCGCTGACAGGTTTGCCAGTGTTGAAAATGCACATATTATACGGGCGCCCAAGACCGCATAGAATCACAGAACAAGGATGCGCATTTGAGAACAAAAAGACACCAAGTTTGGAAACGCCCGGCAAAATCAACAGGATCTGAACATGCGCGCAGCGGGCGCTCAGAATGCAGGGAAATAAACAAACACTAATGTTGAAAAACAACACCGATTATATAACACAACAAGCTTGTGAAAACTCTGGAAAGCAACACCGAGTCTTGGGATGTACGTAGTGGGCGCCCAGATTGCACGGAAAATGGACACCAGTTTTGAAACAAGGACACCAATTATGAAACCGATACAACAATTGAAAAAATGTGCGCTGGGCGCACGGACTGTGCGGAAGACAGATATCAGCTTATACCAGGTTTCGGAGAAGGGCCGCCAAATTCCAAAATGCACACAATCGGCACCCAGACTGCACGTTGAAAAGGGCACCTCCACCAATACTGAAAGATGGACACCAAACTTGAAAAATGGACAGCAACATTGAAACTTTGCGCATTCGGCACCCAGACTGCGTAACAAAGACACCAATACTGAAAAAAACAACATTAGTTTGAGGAAAAAAACACGAATTTTGAATAACAGCACAGCAGGCTGTAAAGCATGCCACCCTGGAGAAGCAAAGCACCACATTTGCAAACACATGACACCAGCCTGTGGACAAACACGACACCAGTTTTCGGAAGAATTATCGTTACCAATTTCAGAAAGATGAAACATGACACCAAAAGGACACACTTCTCGAAAAAACGCACCAACTTTGCGAAGAAACAGACATCAGTCTTGGAAACAAAAACATAAAATACACTAGTCTCAAACACGGACAACACAAAATTGAAAAAAAAACGACACCAATATTGAAAATATACATGGTTCGAAAACAACGACACCAACACAGAACAAATACACCAAGTTTTGGAACATGACACCATTTTAGAATAACAAGGTTGCACACAGTTTGGAAAAGACCAGACGACACAATTTTAGAAGGACGCCAATTAAACAATCAAACACGACTCCAGGTAAGTTTGAGAAAGGCTTTCAGACTGTGCGGAGAAAAGGACCTCGATTTTGAACGACAAGGACACCAACCCTGGAAACAAATGCTTTTGTAAAGAAGGGCAGCGAAAGTTTTAACACAATTCGATACAAAAACCAAAAAGCAAAGAACAACTACATTTGAGACGAAATGACAACCAATCTAAAACAACTGAGAAATATAAATGAGCACGAGAATTGAAAGAAGAGGAAACCAATATTGCAAAAAAACAAGTTTACAAAACGGACACCATTTTTGATAGAATGACAAATGTTGAAACAAGGATACCAAGTGTTGAAACAAGTCACAGCAATTTTCAAGAATCACACAGTTTGGAAATTGACGCCAATTTTGAAGAAAATGACACTGACATTGAACATAAACACCAACTTTAAAAAACAAAAACCACACCAATTTGGGAAGAAATGACACCAATGTTGACAAAAATGATACCGAGTTTGTAAAAAACAATGTTGATAACATCGACACCAATTTTGAAAGAAATGACACCAAAATTGGAGAACAGAACACCAACTGTGAAGAACAACAGACACCAAAATTTGGAGCAAACACACCAGTTCTACGAAAGAAAATAGAGCAAGTTCAGCGAACTTGTATAGGTGTTTTCGTGTGGAATCCTCATAACACTCGCATGACGTCCCGTGCGCCCCGCACGGACTATGTGCATACCGCGCGCGAGCACCGCATACTGTAAGCACGCAGCGCGCGCCCTGTACACGTGCACCGCGCGCACTGTACGCACACCGCGCGAACTGTACGCACACACCGTGCGCCTGCACCGTGCGCACTGCACGCGCACACAGGCGCACTGTACACGCACACCGCGCGCACTGTACACGCACACCGCGCGCACTGTATGGGCGCACCGCGAATCTTGCCAGTACAGTTATCCACACTAGTCACTGGCCACACTAGCATTGCAAGTTACTGCAAGTTGCACCCAAGTTGCACCTCGGACCTATACTAGGTAGGCAGTATCATCATATGTTACAATGTGCAACATAAATACTCCGAATAGTGTGTTGTAAATGCGTCAGTACCAAAGACTTAGTAGATTAGGCCTATTGGAATTGGAGTTGAATGTCTCCAGGATTCCACAGTGACCGATGAAAGTATAGAAAAGAATTGATGAACATTGAGTTTCAATATTTAGAATCTAGACAACAGGTCGACTCTGACTCTGAAGCTTAGACTCGAGACTTCAGACTCTATTTAGAATTGAGACTCATACTAAAGCCATATTTTATTTAATGATTCTATTCTAGTGATAGTGACTCCAGCGACTCCAGTGGCTGAACAGAACCTTGAAAATGGTAGATTGGTCAGCTGATTTGGATTATGCACTCGACTATAGTGACCAACAAACTCTAGACTCTAGACGCTGGCCTCTGAAATCTAGAACCTCGAATCTATAAACTATATACTCTATGACTCTAAAAGTCTAAAGTCTATAGTCTACAGACTATAGATTCTAGATACTATAAGTTACTTGTGCCCGCCACACACATCACCACATGCACCGAGCGCACTGTGCCTTACGCGCACTGCATGCGCGCACTATATACACGCGCACCGCGCGCGCTGCACGCGCGCACTGCGCGCACTGTACGCACGCACCGTGCACACTTCACGCACGTACCACGCGCACTGTACGCACGCACCGCACGCACTGCACGCGCACACCGCGCGCACTGTACGCGCGCACTGCGCGCACGCACCGCGCGCACTGTACGCGCGCACCGCGTGCACTGTACGCGCGCACCACGCGCGCGCACCGTGCGCACTGCACGCGCACCCACCGCACAGCCTACGCATTTTCAAAATTGGTTGTGTTTTTTTCAAAATTGGTTGTGTTTTTTTTCAAAATTGGTTGTGTTTTTTGCAAAATTGGTTGTGTTTTTTTTTCGCGCGGTGTGTGCGCACTGTACGCACGCACCGTGCGCACTTCACGCACGCACCGCGCGCACTGTACGCGCGCACCGCGCGCACTGCGCGCACTGCGCGCGCAAAAAAAAAAAAACACAACCAATATTGAAAAAAAAACACAACCAATTTTGAAATAAACACAACCAATTTTGAAATAAACACAACCAATTTTGAAAAACACAACCAATTTTGAAAATGCGTACGCTGTGCGGTGGGTGCGCGCGGTGTGCGCGTACAGTGCGCGCGGTGCGCGCGTACAGTGCGCGCGGTGCGCGCGTACAGTGCACGCGGTGCGCGCGTACAGTGCGCGCGGTGCGTGCGCGCAGTGCGCGCGTACAGTGCGCGCGGTGTGCGCGTACAGTGTGCGTACTGTACGCGCGCACCGTGCGCACTGTACGCGCACACCGCGCCCACCCACCGCACAGCCTACGCATTTTCAAAATTGGTTGTGTTTTTTTTTCAAAATTGGTTGTGTTTTTTTTCAAAATTGGTTGTGTTTTTTGCAAAATTGGTTGTGTTTTTTTTTCGCGCGGTGTGTGCGCACTGTACGCACGCACCGTGCGCACTTCACGCACGCACCGCGCGCACTGTACGCGCGCACCGCGCGCACTGCGCGCACTGCGCGCGAAAAAAAAACACAACCAATATTGAAAAAAAAACACAACCAATTTTGAAATAAACACAACCAATTTTGAAATAAACACAACCAATTTTGAAAAACACAACCAATTTTGAAAATGCGTACGCTGTGCGGTGGGTGCGCGCGGTGTGCGCGTACAGTGCGCGCG